TGTTTTTTTATCTGTGATAGACAAATAATCAGAAGTAGCTTTCATCTTTTGTCCATTTGGAGTGAGATCATCCCAAGCCCAAAGCCTAGTGCGCAGAGCATATACTCTTAGTGCCTATGGATGGTTCACTTACTTAACTTTTCTAACTTGTCTCATTATTGTTCTTTGAAATAGTGACTATGATAATATCTTAACTTTTCTTGCTTGAACATTCCTTATATGTATTAAATCCTTTTTTTATTAAATTCTTTTTGTATAATTTCTCTAAACAATAAATATTCTTTCAAATGTACACTATGCATTGTTATTTATGAAGGTGATGAGCTCTTAACTTCATTATCAAATATCATATCAGGGAAAATTAAAAAAACTATTAGGGGCCCGGGGATTTAGCTCAGTGGTGCCATCTGCCTCGAAAGCGAAAGGTCCTGAGTTTGATCCCTGGTGCAAAAAACAAGCAAACAAAAAAACAAATCATTATGGATCTCAGGGCTGGGGATTTAGCTCAGTGGTTTCAATGCCTGCTGCGCAAGTGCAAGGACCTGAGTTCGATCCCCGAACCAAAAAAAAAAAATTATGGATCTCAAGGAATTTACCATCAAAATAATAGACTGTCAGATGCACAGCACGGGGCATATATGTAGCAGGTACCCTATCAACATTTGAATGGTAATATTTTTAAAGAAATGAACAATTATGTCTGATATTACTATAGCTACCAATTATTATGCTAGTTTCCAGGGGACTGGTTTAAAGGTCATTAATTATAATTTTCTATGGGCAAACTAAAGGGTCTGAGGTTGAAAGGAGTACCTCTTAATAATTCAGACAGAATATCGAAAATGGTCAATTGTTATGAAAGGCAATAAAAAGCTCCACAACCAAAAAATAAGCATCCAAGATTTTTATGTACCCATTATGTTGAACTTGAATTACCTACTCTGAGTAGTAAGAATTTAAACCAGAACTATGTATGCTAGTGGGGAGGAGGTAATCGCAGTGTCTACTTGGAAACTGATTGAAGGGAATCACTCTTAGTCTTGCTGTTAAGAAGGATGCAATGGTTATCCTGAAAACCAGGCACAGAAAAGAGTATCATATTGGTTTATGAGATGGACTTTGTGAGACTATGTTTCCTTTTTTATTTTACTTGACCTTACCTGGCATGAAATGTTTTTCTTCTCTTTCTAGTTTGGCCACATGCAGAAGCTAACAAATTGTAATCATGAGAAAAAAGGATTTAAAGCAAATAGCAACTGCAAAAAACACAGAAGGGAAAAATAACTTTTTCCTCTTAAACAAAACCAGTGCACCATGCTAAATACTTGAGCACCATGTAGGGAGAGAGAAAATGTTTACATTTTGGACTAAAAAACCAAACCATTTCTTTTGTAATCTTTTTTCCTTATCTTCCAATCATCTTTTTGTGTCTGCTTTCTTAATCTTGAGATCAACCCTTTATTCAATTTTGCTTTCTTTTTTTTTTTTTTTTTTTTTGGTACTGGGGATCGAACTCGGGTCCTTCCGCTTGCAAGGCAGGCGGCGAAACCACTGAGCTAGATCCCTGGCCCCCTTTATTCAATTTTGTAGACTTTGTCTAAAATTACTAAGATCTGCGGGTTGACTGGAAGGAAACAAAGTACAAAGTTAACAGTGCTTATTGTTGTATTGGGAATACAGGATCTGTGTATTGACAAGGCTACTGATGGCAAAGCCCAAATTGGTGCCCCATTCTTTTTGTGTCATTGTGGGCAAATCAGTTTGTCTCCTCTGCCTCTATTTTTCTAGCTATACATTTAGGAGGGTCAAAGATTGCACTTGACTTGAACATTCTATGGGGCTACCTGAAAAGAAAGTTTAGCTTGGTGCAAGCTTTAGGAAGGGCAATTAGGCTGTTTTCAAAATAACAAAAACACATACCTGCTGACACAGTGACACCAATTCTGGAGATTCCTCCTATATATGTGTATGGATGTGAAGTGACTACTATTAGGTTATTCCTTACAGAATAGTTTATGATGGCTGAAGATAAGAAATGAGAATGTTCCCCAACAACCTATGGCTCAGTAAATTGTTTTAGATAGTACTTTTAGTTTTTTGAAGTATGTGTGATAGGTTCACTGTGCTTGCTTTACATAAAATATAGTTTGGTATACATTTTATTAGAAATCTTAAATACTCTTCAATGTCTTCAATCAAGGCTCTTGTATGGCCTACATGGAAAACTGCAGGTTTTAGGATTAGTGGACAGGTGAAGGACAATACAGAGGACAAATGGTTAGTTTGGCAAGAGCATCCCTCATGATGAATGCTCTATGAGTGCTTTTCAGCCAGCTTTTTAGCATTTCCCACAGCTTCTTCAATGGATCCCACCATGTATTCCCAAGCCTGTCCTGGGAAAGTCAAGTTTTTAAAAAAAGACCAAATAAAACAAACTATGACATTTATTATTATTATTTCTGTGTGTGTGGAGGGTGAGGGTGAGGATTGAATTCAGAGCCTCCAGCAGGCTAAGCAAGTGCTGTATCACTTGGTTACACTACCAGCCAAAACTATGGCAATTAAAGAAACAACTGGGCGTGGTGGTGCACACTTGTAATCCCAGCTACTCAGAGGCTGAGGCAGGAGAATTGCATGTTCAAGGCCAGCCTCGGAAATATAGCCAGATACTGTCTTAAAATAAAAATTTAACAAAAGGGCTAGGGATGTAGCTCAGTGGTAAAGTGCTTCCATAGTAGGCCCAAAGCCCTGGTATTGAAAAATAAAGTAAAATTGATAGGGTAACCTCAAGGACTTCAAGGATTTGAGGGAAAGTCTGTAGGAAAATTTTCTTAATCACATATTCTTTTCTGACTGAGGCCCTGAAAAACTGGAATAGAAGTGAAGGCAAAGCCAAATTTGCAGCTGTCTTCTTGGTCATCACCTGTTTTGTAAGCTGCAGCTGCCCAAATGGAAGCTGCTTCTGTGAGCATAATTGGAAAGGCCAGGGGTGCGAGTAGGTGGATAGCAAGTATTTTGTGGCCTTCCTTTCCTTTGAGTTCATCATCTGAGTTGCTCAGATCACCTCAGTCCTTTAGTAGAGGCCCCCACTGTCCAAAATTGATTGTAATTGTGAAAACACCACTAAAGGAAGAGGGTGGCAACCAACCCCTATCCTCAGTCTATCCAGCCCACAATCCTCCTTCATTATCAGTAGGAAGCTGATTCCATAAATCGCTTATGAAAAAATAGGAACCTGGACTACTGAGATGACAGAGGATGAAAAGGAAGGAATAAATCTCTAAATTGATCTAACTTTTCTAAGAGGCATATACATAAATTAAAAGGGTTTTTTTTGTGACAAGGTCTCGCTATGTTGAACTATATAGCTCAGGCTGGCCTCAAACTCCTGGTGGTCCCCCTGCCTCAGTCTCCTGCTAGGATTACAGGTGTGCAGCACCACACTTTCCCTAATTTTTTTTTTTGTTGCCACTTTTTCAATTGAAGAATTACATGTACGAAAGAAAGAAAAATTTTTACTTTTTCTTTAAGAATTGGGAGCTGATTTTTTGGACAAGATATTTAACACTCTATTATCTATCTTCCATCCTGAGTGATCCCATCATTTTAAAAGGAAATGCTTTCCATAGTCTTCCTAAAAAAGCAAAAGCAAAACAAAATAAAAACTTAAAAACTCTATCTTCTGCTCTGTGAGACACAAGGGCCAACTGTCTTCCTACCTTTGGCCCTCCTAAATCCCGTACAGTACGTCCCGGACCAGGAACCTAGCTGGGAAAGGTCGGGTGGGGGTTGGGGTAGACGGATGGACGCAGCAAGTAGCCTAAAGTAATCGGACAGAGTTGCCCCCCTAGACTGCTCTTATCTTCGCTTACATCTTTACACCCTAGGACCATTCTAAAGAAACAACAAGCAACCAGTTTGAAGCTTATTTAGGGGTAAGTAATAAAGTGGCAAGGTTCTCGCTCAATACTCTTCTGATCCTTTTGCCACCGTCCCTGCTCCACACTAGGGAAGAGGTTCCTGTCCAGGGCATGGGTCTAGGGTGACTTTCAGTCTCCATGTGCAACAGGAGACTCTTCTTCCCGTGCCAAGCCCCTTTCCCTCATTCTTAGTTTTTAGGCCACAACGCAGCGAGTCCGGCTAGTGGCTGCTAGACTGGACAACTGGCCCCCAGCTAATCCAATCTCCCAGGCCGGGCTCTGGGGCGCCGGCAGGTGGGCTGTGCGCTGGGGGGCGGTGGGAAGCGCACTCGGCGCTGTCTGGACCGCGCGGGGCCAGAGGACTTGACAGATCGCCACGAAAGTAAACATTCCACAAAACAACAACCCTAAGAAATTATGGGTGGAGCCCATGGAGAGGGCGGCTCAGTGGAATTCGGCGAGGCTGCCTGCATCGCCCACCCCGCGCTCCCGGAGCGCGGCGTCTGACCCCGCCCCACGCTGTCCCGGTTTGGGCTCTGAGAAAAGGTCGGGGCGACACGGGCGTCTCGTTCCACTCGGGCTTCCCGAGTACTCAGCTTCGCTCCTCCGTAGTAAACAAAAGTGTCGCCGCCTCCTCCACGCTGGTTTGCCTCCTAGCAATCAAAACACTAAGAGGGCGAGAGACTCACAGTAACACTCGAGAATTACCAGAAAATAATAACAGGGATTAAAAAAAAAAGAGAGAGCGAATGAGTGTGAGAAACAGAAAAACATCCTACTATCCCCCCCCAACCCACTGCCGCCTCCCGAAGGAAGGCCAGTCCCCGCCCACGCCCGTACCCACTGGCTGACTGGGTGGCGGTACCGCGTGCTCATTGGTCGCGAAGGCTGTCAGTCAGAGGCGGGCCGGCGCGCGCGCCGCCGCGGGCGGGGGGCAGTGGCAGATCCCGTAAGTCGAGCGGCCGCGTAGTTGCTGCCGCCGCCGCAGCTGCCGCCACATTCAACAGGCAGCAGCGCTGCGGTCGCGCCGCCGGAGAGAGCGAGCGGCCCGGGGCACCCGTGCGTCCGTCTGTCCTTCCGTCGGCGGCCCTGTCAGGGGGAGCGCGACGCCACCCCGCCGTCCAGTCCGCGCAGCAAGCCCTGAGGAGCCTGGATGCGGATGGACCCGCGAAGTTAAGTTCTGGGCTAGCTTTTCGTTGCCCCGCACCCGGCTCCGGGTTTCCGTCTGCTCTCGGCGCTAACCTCGGCCTGTAGACCTTGGTCGGCTCTCGGCGCCCCTTCGCCCCCCGCGCTGCGCTCTCCCCACCTGCGTTCTCCGCGGCTGGGGGAGGGGCAGGGGTCACCATGGCCGAGGCGCCCCAGGTGGTGGAGATCGACCCGGACTTCGAGCCGCTGCCCCGGCCGCGCTCGTGCACCTGGCCGCTGCCCAGGCCGGAGTTCAACCAGTCCAGCTCGGCCACCTCCAGTCCAGCGCCGTCGGGCGGCACAACTGGGAACCCCGACGCTGCTGCGGGCCTGGCCCCGGCCCCGGCAGCCGCTGTCAGCGCCGACTTCATGAGCAGCCTGAGCCTGCTGGAGGAGAGCGAGGATTTCCCCCGGGCGCCCGGCTCCGTGGCGGCGGTGGTGGCGGCGGCTGCCGGCGGGGGGCTGTGCGGGGACTTCCAGGGCCCCGAGGCGGGCTGCCTGCATCCGGCGCCGCCGCTGCCGCCCCCCGGGCCGCTGCCGCAGCACCCGCCAGTGCCCGCCGCCGCCGCCGCCGCCGCCGGGGCGCTTGCGGGGCAGCCGCGCAAGAGCAGCTCGTCCCGCCGAAACGCCTGGGGCAACCTGTCCTACGCCGACCTCATCACTAAGGCCATCGAGAGCTCCGCCGAGAAGCGGCTCACGTTGTCGCAGATCTACGAGTGGATGGTCAAGAGCGTGCCGTACTTCAAGGATAAGGGTGACAGCAACAGTTCTGCTGGCTGGAAGGTGAGCGGCCCCTGGGCCAGGGCGTTAGGCTAGACCGAGGGGCGCGGTGGGCTGTGCAGGGGCGCTCGGCGCCGGAGCGCGGAGTGCTGGGCGTAGGACGGCGCGGGCGGCCAGGCTCGGAGTGAGCGGCAGGTGCGGCGAGGGGCTGCCCGCGACCGGCCGGGGCGCCTGAGCAGCTGCGGAGGCAAGCGCAGTTGAGTTGCAGCGGGACGAGGAAGGGCTGGTCTGGAAACTAAGGAGTGGAGAAAGTACGCCGAGAAGTGGGCTGCAGGCGGGTTGAAAAGTTTTGCCTGCAGAGGGAGAATGGGGCTCACTTGGAGAAACTGTCCCTGTCCCTGCGGACCTCCGAGGGGAGGGGAGGGGAGGGCCGCACCCTTGCAGCCGCGCACCGCGCGGAGGAGCCGTTTCCTTAGCGCCTCGGCAGTGCGGAGGAGCGCGAGACGAGGGCACCGGAGACCCTGCTCCTGGGTCCCGGGCTGCAGATGGAGGGGACACGCAGGGTGCGGCCGACGGCGCAGGATGTAGAGGCCGGTGGTGGGTGGGGGGCACTTTGCTTTGTTTTGGTTTAGCCAGATTGGCCTTGAGTGCCGGGGGCCGGGCGCAGCGAGCCCGAGGTAGCGTCGCCGACACGTGCGAAGGGGCGGTCACTGTCTGCGGTGCGCTGGCGCCCGGACGCGCTGGGCGAGCTAAAGTTCAAGTGTGACCCTTGGCGGGGGCGGGTGCTGCGGCGACGAGGGTGGGGCCACGGGCGCAGGAAGCCAGTGCCTTTAAAGGGCCAGCGCGTCCGGGCCGCGGGGGGGCCAGCACTTCTCCACGCCGGGAAGCGTCCCCAAACTCGGTAGTGCCCGGAGTACGAGGCTTTTCTTTAGAAACCAGAGGCTGTTCGGGTGTTGTTGCCTTGCTCTTTCAGTGTTACTGAGCGCGGCCGCACTGGTGCAAGGCAATTCTGTGATTAGAGCTTTGGGGAAGTCGAGTGTAGGTGCGCGTCTTGGAAACTGCGGAGACCGAGACCTCCTTCGGGAAGAGTCGTAGATTTGCAAATGAGGCGCCTCAGACATTTTTTGCCCTTCTTAACGGGACTGGGATGGACACCAGGTGGGGACAGGCACAACCCTACGGGTGGTAAAGAAGGCCTTGGGGGCTCTTAGGAATACTGGAGGTAGGGAGGCTTTCCTGTAGGTCTCCTCGCTGTGCGGCTTCCGAAGATGGAGTTTCTCACTCACAGGTGGAGGGATTGATGTAAGACTTCTGCAGTTGCGTATCTTCTCGCTCTTCCGTTGTATGACCTAAACAGTCATCCTTGTGGTTAGTGTTTGCCAAAAGGTCAGGTTGGTTACATCATGCTTTGGAGTTCCTGGAAAAAGGAGCCAAGAGTTACCTTTTATTCTAAAACACACTTTAGAAAAAATAAAGTATCACTTATAACCTCATTGCTTAGGCATCACATGCAGTTTTACTTAGTGTTTAGAAAGATAAAGGGCCTCTTTGAGCTCAACTATTACATAGAGTAAGTCACAAAATCGGGCTTGTCTACCAAATACAATTTTACTTAATATTTAAATTTAGTAGTTAACTGGTTTTTCAGTCCTGCTTAAGCTCTTATAAACCATCTGTCATTAAAAAAAAATCTCTCGGCATTCAAAGTACAGTGTATACTTAACCATTTCTTTTGTATCCTTGGAAGTGGATACAACCGACTTTAACTTAGGTTGTATCTATTTTGGGATATTTTCAGTTTTGCCTTACAGATAGCGTTGTCCGGATATTCTTAACTGGGAATGTAACTTAAATTTCTTAAGATTTACTAATTTTTTGGTTTTTTGAGACAGTCACTATGAAGTGCAGACTGGCTTTTAATTTGCCAATCTTCCTACCTCAGTCGCCAGAGTGCTGGGATTACAGGCATTGGCCAAGATTTATTAAAAAAAAAAAAAGATTCTAAGGTCATACTAGTCAGGTGATCATTAGTTTCTTGTTCTAATATTTGAAATGCATATATTATTTTATTTATTTATTTATTTTTTGTACCAGGGATCAAACTCGGGTCCTTTTGCTTGCAAGGCATGCAGCGGAACCACAGAGCTAAATCCCCTGGCCCTGTAATTTTATTTTTAAACTTTGCTTACCGGAGCCAGGAGACCTATGAAATGTGAAGTAAGGATTATGGGTATTAAAATGGAGTCCCGGGGACAGCTCCCTGTGAACCTGGGGTGAAGCTTTGAGAGGTACAAGGCTGCCTCTCTCAGATGAGGAGCTGTTTCAGGTGTTCTGAGAGTCAGTTGGTGCAAGTTAGATTACAGCAAGTGCATTTTCAATTTGAGTAAGAGGGTATTTTAAGAAGAAACAACTTGGAACTGTTCTCATAACTAGTCTTCCGATTAGAATTTTCATAAAAATGAGTTGTGTGTTAAAACCAAGTTTCACTCTCAGATCTGATCTAAAAATTCATAAAGGGAGAATTTTTACTATGACTTTTAACTTAAAAATCCAATTCTAAAATGCAAATGAACCCAAACTTAAGAGTTTTAGGACTGAGGAGAGACCTCTTTGAAACAGACTATTTCCTGTGATTTGCTATTGGGAATTAGACTGAATAGTTAAACATGTTTTTTTTGTATTTACTTCCTGGGCCTGTCTGAAGATTTGAAAATTGTTTGCAAAGACCAGAGTAGTTGGAAAGCTGTTAGTGTACTCATTTAATGTTTCTTACATAGTTAAGCACTGGCTGTGTATGAGGGATATGCCTTTTGTGTTTGTGGGGAAGGTACGTTAAATCTATCTTAAGCTTGTTTTATTTACTTATTTGCAAAACATTTTTTTGTTTTGTTTTTTTGAGACAGTCCCAGTGTGTAGTTCAGGCTGTCCTTCAACTCATTATGTAGCCCAGGCTGGCCTTGAACTCAAGAGTGCTTGGGACTACAGATGAGTGCCACCATGCCCAACTAATTGTTTTTAATATTGTATAGAACTGTCAGAGTTCCACACAAAGTGGAACCAAGACTTTTGGAAAACCCATGATCTTTTAAACCAGTACAGTATTTATAAACAGTGAAACTACTTCCATGACCTGTTTTCTCACATAGAAAGCTTTCTAAAGCTTGAAAAGTAGTAGTGTCAGCTCTGATTTATTTTTTCAGTGGCAGTTTTGAATTGAGTCTTGTTTTTTGTTTTGACATTATTTGGGACACAATTTTAAACTAAAAGAATACATGGACTATAAAATGTAAGACTTGTTAAAGAGATTTTTATTAACGAATTTATTATGAAATACTTCAGATAATCTTTAATTTGGAATAAAGTTTCTTTAATTTGGTCTGTGAAATGAACAGTGCATTTACTTATATTTAAAAAATTCATCACTATTCTGTAATTTGGGTTTTTAATCTTCCAGTGAGTAATTTAGCCTCAGAAATCCGTTATGAAGGTGGCTGCTGTTTGCACACAATCATATTTGACTTGAAGAATCCTGGTGAGAATGATTGAGAGGACGTAAGATTCGTTTACTAAATCTGGTTTGTTCTGGAAGTTACCTTAAATAGAGCAGTTTTGATAGTTGAATAAAAAACTCTATATATTTGTGAAAGGGACAGTGAAGAAAGAGAATTTAAGATGGCTAAGAGAATTATGCAGATAGGATTATCTTGTTCATTAAAGGCTAAAGTTAATCTGAGTTTGCTGTGAATGTTTTGTGGCTCTAACATTTTCTTCAGAAATTTGAAAATGGACACCGAGTTTGAATACTTTATTTAGGATGCATGAGAATTTATATTTACCTTTTACCTATGATTTTGCAGCAGATCTTTGGTTGGGGAGATAGACGGTGGAAAGGATGGTTTTTTTAATCTCCAGCCCAATGGTTTTTGTTTTTGGGTGATACTCGGCTTTTATTTTTTAAGTTGCAAACATTTGAGTACTGAGAAGAAAATACAGTGAGTGGTACCTCAGTTTATGAATTTAATTTCTTACATAATTTTGGAAAAGATGGCCACATTTGTGTTTTTGTGGGAAAGATGGCCGCGGTTGTGTTTGTCACCCGATACAAGAGTTTGCAAACAAAAACAAAATTTTGCCAAATGCTTTGGTTTGCAAATCATTGTTCACAAACAAAAGTGTTTGTGAACTGAGGTACCAGTGTATTTTAATTTTCATGTAAACTTAAAAAAATTTGGAGTTGAGAGTCCAAAATTTCTGAAAGGGTAGCAGTGTACATAAATATCAGTGAATTTCATGCTGCGGATTGGGAATCTTCTCCGTGGCCATATGAAATGAGGATGAGGGGAAGGGATACCTAGAATCTTTAATAGGCCAGTTCCTGTTCTTGTGCTCTGTCCTTTTTATATAATCTCCCCAACTGCAGTTTTGTAGTTAGACTTACTAAGAGAGCAGCTGTGTATTTGCCTGGAATTTCTTTGAGAGATCCTGAACTGCTTGCATTTTTCTGGAACACTGTGACCTTGGAAGCTACCCAGTACCCTGGCATGGGAATTTACCCAGCCATTTTTTTTGGTCTCTGTGTGCTGTAGCTTTGGGACTTCCTGAAAACCTCTTGGAAAGGCAGTATAAACCTTATAGTGATTGGAGAGAGCAGTTTTCAGTTGCATGAAAAACTGGGTGGGTTTGTCCTTTTCTTGCAACTCAAGACATAGCTTGGTCTTCATAGCAACAACTTGTAGAGGCTTGCCCAATCCTCCAGTGCCACCCCCATCAGATAACCACCTTTTCTCCATGAGTACAAAATTCTGAAGTCTGTGGCATTATTCCTCACTTGTGAAATAGAGGACCAGTTTGCTTGTGTTTTATCAATTTCAGAGCTAAACGCTTAATAGTGTGTCATGGGTTCTTACCACTCAGAAGACATTTGGGCCACCTTTATTTTTTATTTTAACCATCTTAGTATATAGGTTTGATAAAAGCTTAAAAAAGCAGAAGAGAAAAACAGACTCATCTTGATATTAAGATTAATGTACTTGGAAAGCTAAATTGCATTCCCTGTTCTGAAT